TCATTTCCGAAACTAAAACTCAGATTGAACTTTAGATTATACCAATGAATATGTCGTCGATAGGTCTACATACATAAGTGATTTTAGAAAGAAGCGATGAAATTGTTTTTTTCCCAAATTAGTCACCAAAATTCTTATAATAGCTCAGTTTTGTTTTCCGCGTAATTCCAAAACTAAAACTCTGATTGAAGTCTAGATTGCAGCAATGAATATCTCGTCGAGAGATCTACTCACATACGTGATTTCAGAAAGAGGCGATGAAATTACTTTTTTTCCAAATTTTTCACCAAATTTCCTAAAATCAGCTCAGTTTTGTTATACGCGTATTTCCGAAACTAATATTAGGTTTAAAGTCTAGTTTGCACCAATCAATATCTCGTCGAGAGGTCTACTCACATACGTGATTTCAGAAAGAAACCATGAAGTCAGTTTTTTCCCCAATTTTTCACCAAATTTCTTAATATCAGCTGTGTGTTGTTTTACGCGTATTTCCGCAACTAAACCTCGAATTGAAGTGTTGTTTGCACCACGTGAGGTCTACTCACATACATGATTTCAGAAAGAAGGGATTAATTTAATTTTTTTCAAATTTTTTTCACCAATTTTCTTAATATTAACTCAGTTCTGTTTTACGCGTATTTCCGAAACTAATACTCGGGTTGAAGTCTAGTTTTACCAATGAATTTCTCGGCGAGATTTCTTTTTACATACGTGATTTCAGAATGAAGCGATGAAGTTAATTTTTTTCCTAATTGTTCACCAAATTTCTGAATATCTCTTTAATTTTGTATTACGCGTACTTCCAAAACTTATATTGGGAATGACGTGTAGTTTGCACCAATGAAGTTTTTGGAGAGTTTTTCACTTTCATACGTGATTTAAGAAAGTAGCGATGGATATATTCTTTTCTTCTAATGTTTTACTAATTTTCGTAATTTCCGGTCAATTTCGTTTTACGCGTATTAGCGAAACTAGTAATCGGATGAAAGTCTAGTTATCATCAATTAATTTTTCGTCGAGATTTCTACTCCCATACGTGATTTCAGAAGGATGCGTTATACTATTGTTTTTCCAAATTTTTCACCAAATTAGTAATATCAACTCTATATATATATATATATATATATATATATATATAGATATAGATATAGATATAGATATAGATATAGATATAGATATATATGTGTGTGTGTGTTCTGTGTGTGTGTGTTGGAGAAGTCTAAGCTTTCTAATCGCCACCAACGTCGAGTAATGTAGTTGGTAATGGCAAAAATGTTATAGAATGTCCTACAATATCATAGCCTGTATATTTCAATGTAGGAAATATCCTTTCGACTCAAATTGCTAAATTAAAGCTCTAAAACGCTTCGTTTATGAGTTTTTTAACGATTTAGAGTAAATAAATCCTGACAAGTGCTGCGGGTTTCATTTTACATGAATATTTAGATTTTTTTGTAAACTAATCCTATATATTTTCAAAGTCAAGGTGCAATTTATAACCCTCCGTGAAAATTTATTTCTTTAGAGAACTGATATTCAAAGGTTGATTACGCACGATAAAATACAACACAAGGCAAGACGGTCACAGAAACCCTTTTAGAAACATCGTATAGAGCTAGTTACATTGTGTTATTGGAAAAAAACGCACAGATCATCTAAATCATTGTGAGTTTTAGTTGAAATGTAAAGGATGTGACAGTAATTATTTTTTCGCGTAATAAATTGGACGCGAATGAGAACACAACAAACCTTAACGTATAAATCTTCTCGCATGAGACGAGTATATCCTTTTTTTCAGTATTCTCCAACAAGAAGTTATTTATTTTCACAGCTTCATCCGCAGTAAAATATAAGATTATTCATGTCAAATTAAGTAAATTATTATTCTAAACGTTCGTTTCATTCGTACAAGCTTTTTATTCACACCACTTATTACCCTGGTAAAAGGATACACGTGGAAATGTTTACGGCCATTTTCTTGCAGAGTTCGGAGAAGCTTGTTCTTCAAAACATCTTGGTACCTAACATCGTAGTGTTACCGGCTGAGTTTAGCTCATAGCCATCATTTCTGCTTTTTTTCTCTGTCTCTGTCTGTCTGTCTGTCTCTCTCTCTCTCTCATCTCTCTGTCTCTCTTCTCTTGCTCTATCTCTCTCTATCTCTCTCCTCTCTCTATCACTCTCCTCTCTCTCTCTTCCCGCTCCTCTCTCCTCTCTCTCTCCCCTCTCTCTCTCATCTCTCTCTCTCTCTCTCTTTCGAGTTTGATCGTACCTCCTAAGATGTGTCTCGACAGTGTTGAATTTTCGACAGTAGCTAGGTATATAGATCGAATTCAGCTGTTCTCTGGAGGAGAAAATAGGCTGGCTGCCCTGATCGGACGGTTTCCATGGTTTCTATTCTCACTAGGTTAAATCCCGAGCAGAATGACCATAAAACAGCCATAATGGATTTTACCGATAAACGACAGACCAGCAAAAATGTAATAGAATGTCCAAGAATTATGGTGTGCGATCTTTCCTTCCTCTTCATTGTCTTATCGACACCCCTTATACACACTTTCACTTACATGCAATCCACTGCCACGTATGTCAAGAGTCGAGTTGGGAGCTTAAGGCTCACTTGTCCCCAGTTGCCCTCTGAGAGAGATACCTGAATGAGGAAAACCCCGCACGTCGACGTGTAGGTTGGCGCCGGGTCTCACCATTCCCAGGAGAAGGTGACCGCCACCGCCCGTGATAAAATATGCATCGCACTTACGAGGCGTATGACCATAGCAGTTGACGCGCCAAATAAATCACCTGAGTAGTCAGCGCGTCCGGAAGCAATGAATAGCCTCTCCCTCGCAGTCGAGGAAAGAAAAGAGAAGAAACTGTCGCGTGTAGTAACATTGGCTGCGTTCGCCTCTCCGGTGGGAGCAGCGAGTGCGGGAGCGTTCGCGGTATCTTTCCGGGAGATCGCCGCGCGAGTGCACTTCCTCCTCGATGACGGCAGTGGCCATACGGGGCGTCGTGGGACGCGGTCCGAGTCCAGGTGCGTCCGCGTGTGCGTGCTGGCAGGCGGCGCGGCCTTGGGCGGTAGAGGTGGTAGAAGTGAACTCGATCACTCCTCGGTTACCACACACCAGTGGTCGTCGTGTCGGAGATCGAACCGCAGCTCTCTCTTCAATCTCGAATCAAAGATTTCTGGTGTCAAACCCATCGAAATGTTGAAATTAAAGAGCAAGTTTGGAACCATTGAATTGAAACCTTTAAAATTAAAATGGGTTAATTTATATTATGTTCTTTGATATTTTCTATAAATTGGGCTTTGTTCATAGACATCTCACTATCCATCGCTACCTCCGAGATAAAACATTCTCTACACTAAAGGAACTAATCACAATTGCAGTTCACGTGCCCAGAAACATCAATCAATCAATAAATGGATCAACTGTGCAGTTGATTGTGTGTACAGATTACACGGAAATGTCAACTTTAGAGACTACGTTTTTCATATTCAATGGGCTATGCTCCACAACAACTTTTTCAACCCCTCAACTTCGTTGTCAGACCAGCTGAACCGAGGACAAGATTACTTTGGTTCGTTGCCACACGTTTGGTTTTGTTGCATCCATGATCTCTCATTATTTACTTTCATGACTCCATCACCATATGTGTAATTTAACTGGCTATGAATTGCATTTGGTATCACATTACCCAAACGAAGAAAAATGATTACTCACCGTTCTTATAAAGACGAAAAGGTCGCTTTTTTAAGTATAGAAAACTCATCTTCGTCGCCACGTCTCAAGTTGAGAGTAGTGTACAGAGTTGTTATCTCTGTAGTAGGTGAACACATATTTGAAACCAAACTGTATTTTTCTATTCCAGCCAAAACAATAAATGATCTAGAACGCACCTCCTAATAAGCAAATGAACTAATAAAATATTATCATAAATTCAATTTTCAGAAACTTTTTATTTTATAAAAAATAACCTCCACCTTTGAACATTTTATGTATCGGCTTTTGAGAGAAAAAGCAGAAAGAATTGGTCTTCCCACAGATCAAAGTGGATAAAAGTCAATTACAGTACAGTAAAAATTGGTCACTAATGACTGAGTTGTTAACGCACCACTAGTGAAGGATAATAAATAATGTACTCTCTTATCCAACGCTGAAATCTAGTTTTTGTTTCAAGGGAACGTTTACTCCCATGTGCGCAGTATCCCTAAACACGAATCAGCAATTTCAAGCAAGAGCTATTAAGACTTGGCTGGTTGCGATCTGTTTCGTAGAGAGAGGAGTTTAATGGGAACATCTGGGGCTTCCATAGTGAATCTCATTAATAAATTAATCTCATCTCTTACTAATATCTTTTTGTATTTGTATTATTTTTAAAATTATTTTTGGTGTACAATATTGTTATTTTAAAGTGTACAAAATATTCACTTGAATGTAAATGTTTCAAAATCAAATTTAGAAGTGACGAACTGCGCTGCTAGAGCTATCAAATATGATATTCTTTGTTTACATTTATTTTAAGCAATAATGCTTAAAACTGTTATAAAAGTTTGATAAACTTCTCCTTTTATTGACCTCTTAGAGTCTGCCATTGAGAACTTCGCTCATAGTAAATGCACACCATGAGACATAATACTGTACTCACGTGAGGATTGCATGTTTTGTGTTTCATGTCTGTTATCTGACAGATCTTGGAAATTGTCTGGGGATACACATGTATACTCTTTATACTACTGAAGGTTTAACAATATTCCAGCTCTAAAACTGGTTTTCCTTAAATTTTGTTTCTGAGTTTTGAGAGCAGACGAGGAAACAACCATGTTTCAGCGAGTAGTGTTTTGGAGCACATACAAACGGAAAGGTGAATAGTAAAATAGGTATATTTTGTTCGATTTGATTTGTGCAGTGAAAAATATTAGTTCTACGGTCAAAATATAAGTAATGTTGCCAGGTGAATCAGTGTTAATTTTATCTAATTTATTCTTCTTTATTCCATCCTGCATGTCCGATACAAAAAGTCGTCTTCCTCTAATGGGAAATGCCTGTAATGAGAGTGCTAGCCAAGAGTCTACTAACATTTCACCATTTGACAAGACCACACGTTACACCCAGTCTTGTCATATTCCTGAGTTCCATTATTACTGGATAAACAAGGACGGGAAGAAAGTTGTGGGAGGACCGCATTACACTTTATTCAAGGTGTTTAAAGAAGTGACCGGAATCAGTTTCGAATGTTTAACCCCTGAACCATACATCTTTGGTGCTGAGAAAAATGGAACATACAACGGCGAGATTGGTCTTCTTCAAAATGGGTCTGCCGATATATCAGCAAACAAGTTTTTTATCACGTACGAAATATTTGAATTTGCTGATTTTACATTGCCGGTTGTAGAGTTCTCATGGTGCATTTCCATTCGTAAATCTGGAGAAATTCCGTTTTCGAAAGTGCTTTTGTTGCCTTATAAGAAGAAGGTGTGGTTTTCCGTGGCAGGTGTGTTGTTAATTACGATTATAATGTGGCATACTACAAATACTGTCATTCAGAGGCGACCGAAGCAATCTCATATATTGTCTATAACTGATTGCTTTTTTAAGGTGCTGCAAGTTACATTGACCGGCGCATGTAGGCAGTGTCCTTGTATCTTTCACCAAAGATGTTTGTTTGGTGCATTACTATTGTTCATCTTGGTGCTTAGCAACGGCTATCAAGGTCATTTACTTGGTTTCTTAACGACACCTCCACTAATGGAAGATCTTCAAACTCTTCAAGAAGCTTCTGAGAATTTAAGACACATCTTTGCCAAAGGTTTATTTGAAAGTGTGTTTGGAGGCAACGGTGCATCGAATCCTACACTCAGAAACCTTCAGAAGAAGATTAAAATAATAAAAGTAATGGAGGTACGCAAGGTACTCGACTCAATTGTACATGGGGCTGCTGATGGTATTCTACTTAGTCGCGAATTGTATTACCTCTACTCGCACAGCCCGCACTTCACTCGGAATGGCCAGCCAGTGCTTCGATTGGTGGACGAATGTCTAATTTCGCCAGGTTTTTCGTCGTTTGTGGTTCGCAAAGACTCTCCGTTGAAAAACATATTTATGCCCTTCGTGATGTACGTCGTGCAGGGGGGTTTATACGATCATTGGATTTTGGCATACCGACACCTGATGGTTGCGAACGGAGTGTTGGTGTCGGAGGCGGCGTCGGACCGCGTGAAATATCCCTTTTCGCTGACCCTTCATCACGTGGAAGGAGCTTTCGTCTTGATGACGGCAGGAATGATTCTGAGCTTCCTGACGTTTTTGTTGGAGCTTCTGATAGGCCTTATCTGCTGGAGATAACACACGAGACCTATTGGACGATCTATTTAAGAAAAAAACATTTTTTTCTAACATGTTGGGGGTGTCGAACTAAACGCTATTGTATTTGGTCCTTGTGATGTTTCTCGCAATTTTGTAGTCAATTAAAAAGCAATTTTATGTGTTAATGAAAATTAATTTTAAAAACAAACTATTCAGCATTAGTGTTATGTTTTGTGAATTAATTATATATGAATCAAAAAGTAACAAAATATATTATATTTGCATCTGAAATTTAGGAAGTTATTATTTACATTATGAGTTGTGAATGGTTAATTGCTGTAACATCCCATTTTCATCTCGAGACCTACACAGTTTCTAAATAGAACAGGTACTATTTTGATGTTGAATACTATCATGGAGATCGGTTTTCAGACCTCTGGAAACACTGAGACGAATAAACTGATTGTACCTTGATGGTTGTATGGTTAGATAGAAGTGGCTGCATGTGTGAAGCGATATGTATATTTGAGACCTATATCTCGGAACATCTTAGAACCGTTTAAGCTATAACTTGGTACACACGTTAGAAGTCAGTTCCATTACTTCAGCCTCAAAGATAATTGAGACTACTAAATGCAGTTTTGTTCCAGAAAAAATGCTAAATGTCATTTTAGCTTTAAGTATGGCTGCTGAAAACTTGACACGAGACACTACACCAGTTTCTCTCACACTTCACCCTCTAAATAATATTTCAAATTTCTTGATACCGCGAATCAATCCAGTGTTATCTGGATCGCATATCAGTACTTATGATAAAGTACAATGGTACAATGCTAATGTTCAATATAAATTCTGTCTCCCCATACATTGCCAGTTCCAGCAGGGCTAAAAATATGGTTTTTGAAGCCCCTTCGTATTTTTTACAACTTCCTCCCTCCCCCTCCCCCTCTTCGCATCGCTTCCCAACCCACATCGCAACGAACTTTGGCAGCACGTCACGCGGGCTCGTTCCATTTTATTCCCCCCTCCCCCCCCAGGCGCCGCTCACCGTCCTGCGCGGCCACCGGGGGGGTGTTTTGCGGCGGGGGGGGGGGGGGGCGGGTGATGCTAGTGGCGAGGCGGTCGGTAGGATCTCCCTCTCCTCCCATGTGGATAATCACCAGTACGGCGCTTTTACCCGGGTGTATGGGCGGGGGCGGCGGAGGCCCCGCAACCATAGCTTTGCCAACTAATAATATAATAATAAATAATAATAATAATAATAATAATAATAATAATGTCTTTATTAATGGCGAGGCTCAGACCATACGACCTGCTCTTCCGCAAAATCACTGAATTTACATACATATAGAGTTAAGAGGGGAGGACAAGCTGAACATTTACGTCTGGGAGACCAAATGGGGGGAGCATCCCGGCACACGCCTTGACCGATTCAGTACACCGCCCCCGCGCTGCGACGCCCCTGCCCGGCCCACGGCGCCGCGCGGCTAAGTACCTGCGAGGTGCGGGCGCGAGACGGACCGCAACACGCGTACGGGCGCTGGTCACGCGATGGCGCAACTTACGGGCCGCGCGAATCAGAGGGGAAAATGCGGATTTATGTGGTGTGATGGAGGCCCGCCGCTGCGAAAACGCCGCTGAGAAAAATTGAACAAAATGGATTTTCAACAAGTAACACGTACTCTGCTCACGAACAACTGATGAAAGACTGTTTAACATTGCAAGAAACTAAGTATTTTAACGGAAACGTTCTCCATGAATACTGTAATAACACAGTAATAGTTTAGCGAGTATATATCATAGTAGATCGTTACATAGTATGAATATAAAATATGTAGCTGTTACTCGTAAATACCAAATATTTAATGGTGGGTGTCTCCTTCCTTGCAGCATTTCGCGTAACGTAAACAGTCACACGTGGTGACACACTATGATAATTCTGTCGGTACTAGCAGAATGACAATGGTAAAGTAAAGCAGAATGGCAAAGCAATTGTTTTTTTAGAGAACCTTTATATCTAAAGAAACCATAGGCTTATCTCGCGTAGAAGGAGACTGCATAGCTTTTTTTTCAATTCCTCTGCTCATTGCAAATTAGTAATACAGATGTCGAAGAGATGAAACAGTAGTTTTTAGATATTCCAACCACGTGTTTTCCTCGTGTGGTTAAAAGAATTGAGGCGAGGGCTAAATTAATGACGAAAGCTAAGGATTTGTGATGCCTCAAATGAGACACATTTGATATGGTGTACCTATTCGTTAAAACAAGATTTGCGTGATTTCGCTGCAGATAATGGGCGTGACGTTCCCGCAATTCGGAGAACACTTTAGATTTTTTCATGATTTATCAATTTAATAATTCTAAACTATATATTAATAACTCCTTCTTTGTCACTCAAAGTAAAAGTCAGTTATCATATTTTGGTGATCTACCATCAAGAAAAAATGTTTCATACAAGTATTATTTTCTATTTTCACCAAATACTGATATTGTCAGTGTATTGGTTTTGACAAAGAATATTTGAGATTAGGAGACTTACTACGCCAGCCATTTGTGATACCATTTGGGATAGTATTAGGACGTAAATAGAGATAAAGGATAATTAAACATATTTTCCTCCGCATAATTACATGGTTGGTGATGTTAGATCCATCATGTAAATTTATCGCCCCAATTCATTCTGACGACAGAGTAAACTTTCTTGTTTTAGTGGTAAAAATGTTCTTATTGCTTCATGAATTTCACACACTTTAAATGATCATTGTGTCATTTACTTCTGAACTACATAAAATTGTTTTGGATTTGTACAAAAAATTAAATTAAAATTAATGTCTATTATTTTTTAGACACTCTGACAAACACAATAGAAAATCCTAAACTACAAACCTATCTCTTAGTACGAAAGAAGAGTACTCCTCAAACAGCATGTGAACTAAATTTCGATTCACTAAGAGTTTACAATTTTGAAACGTGATATGCACACAACAACAATTGAATACGATCACCGTAGAAACGTAATGTTGTATTTCATTCAGCCTGCTGAAATTTGTAGGATCAGCAGGTCACGATATCAGTCGTGCTGTTTTATAGTTTTCTTATTTTACTTCAATTTTTATTATTTTTTACGGTTTTAAGTATAATCAACACCATGCGGGAAATACTACATGTTCAAGCAGGGCAGTGCGGAAATCAAATCGGAGCGAAGTTCTGGGAGGTGATTTCCGACGAACATGGAATCGACCCAGCTGGCTGCTACCACGGTGACTCGGATCTACAGTTGGAGAGAGTAAACGTCTATTTCAACGAAGCTGTTGGCGGTAAATACGTGCCACGCGCAGTCCTGGTGGATCTGGAACCAGGAACATTGGACTCGGTGCGATCGGGACCTTTTGGACAAATCTTCCGTCCCGACAACTTCATATTCGGGCAGTGTGGAGCCGGTAACAACTGGGCCAAGGGCCATTACACCGAGGGAGCAGAACTTGTTGATTCCATTCTCGATGTCGTTAGGAAGGAAGCAGAAGCGTGTGACTGTTTGCAGGGATTTCAATTCGCGCACTCTTTAGGAGGTGGCACGGGATCAGGACTGGGCACTCTCATAATAGCGAAAGTGAGAGAGGAATATCCGGACAGAATGATGCTTACATTCAGTGTTTTACCATCACCTAAGGTATCTGATACGGTGGTGGAGCCGTATAATGCTACGTTGGCTATCCACCAACTTGTCGAAAACACCGACGAATCTTTTTTCTTCGACAATGAAGCACTTTACGATATTTGCTTTCGCACTCTGAAACTAACAACACCCACCTACGGCGATCTAAATCATCTAGTATCTGCCGTAATGTCAGGAATAACAACGTGTTTGAGGTTTCCTGGCCAATTAAATGCTGATCTGCGAAAACTAGCTGTAAACATGGTTCCCTTTCCTCGCCTGCACTTTTTTATGACAGGATTTGCGCCTCTAACGTCTCGTGGATCTCAGCAATATCGAGCTCTCACCGTTCCGGAGTTAACCCAACAGATATTTGATGCGAAGAACATGATGGCGGCGTGTGATCCTCGCCATGGCCGATACCTGACAGTGGCCGTTATGTTCCGAGGACGAATGTCCATGAAAGAAGTCGACGAGCAGATGTTGAACGTGCAGAACAAGAACAGCAGTTACTTCGTGGAATGGATCCCGAACAACGTGAAAACAGCTGTCTGCGACGTTCCCCCTCGTGGACTCAAAATGTCCGCCACATTCCTTGGTAATACAACTGCCATCCAAGAACTGTTCAAGCGCGTTTCTGAACAGTTTACCGCCATGTTCCGACGCAAGGCGTTTCTGCACTGGTACACGGGTGAAGGCATGGACGAAATGGAGTTCACCGAGGCAGAATCCAACTTGAACGACCTTGTGTCTGAGTACCAGCAGTACCAAGATGCCACAGCCGAGGAAGAGGGAGAATTTGATGAGGAGGAAGGAGATGAAGAAGCTTGAACTCTGAAAAGGCAAATAATTTTGATATTTGTTTTATTGTATCTTTTCTATAAATTTTTTATCATTATTTTGTATTTATATACATGGTTCTTTATATGTACCATTTTGTTTTTGACGTCCCTTTATTGATATATATTGTAACATTACATTTGTACATTAAAGATATTTGATTTTTATGGTTAGTTTTATTCTGCGTATATCGGACACAACGATGTAGAGCACGTGATAATGTGTGTTATTACACAGTTGATTTGGTTTAGATTCTTGACAGAAAATCTATTTCAGCTAATCACACTAGGAGGACCTCTGGCGAAACAAGGGAATCACGCCATGCTTACTAAGGGATTCGCAAGTAACGGGTGAAATGGTAAAAGAGATGCAACAGTTGTAGTTCTGGATTAAACTCGTTACTTAAATGTGTTTGAATGCTGTAAATATGTACTGCAGCTTGTAATGTATGGGCGTTCATCCAGCAATGACACTTGAACTACCATGAATATGGTGGTCACTGTACTATTTGCGGGTTACGTTGTCCTAAACTTAGTGACCAGTGATTATAACTGTATTCAAGGGAAGATTGTCCTATTAGTGATATAGCTTGTAATATGTACTAGCTCTTCTAATGAACCTCCGTAGAAAAATAAGCTTATAACATGCATCATTCTTTTTTTCATTTTAGGACAAAGTAATACCTCCGATCCAAAGTAGCCAGATCTTACAGTATACGTTTTGATAAGGTGATTTGTTAGAGTAAAAGTCGGGACACACTATATTCATTGTTGTTAAAACAAATGTTACAATGATCTGAATTAAATATAATACACAAATGTCAGTTTATTTGTAAATGTACAATAATTAATGTGATGGTGGCCAACAAAGAGCATCAGAAAATCGCAGTATTTAGCACTGTCCTGAATTTTCTTTAACACGTTTTTACATTAAAAGTAAATCAAATTAATAATACAAATTTTCTCGTAATTCACTCTAGCTAATTTTGTAGGGTCTACAGAAAGGTGTGGTCTACCAAAAAAGGACTCCATTAATATCTGTAAATATGTATCAGTCTTTCATCCTTATTAACCTGTTCTTGATATGATGAAGCTTGCCTGTAAACGAATTTTGAGAGTTCCAGAGTGAATACTATTTTCATGTGTGTTTCGCTCCTGAGTTACGCATTAGCCAAGATTGCCATTTAAATAGAAACGCACACGGAAAGAAACTGGCCTGCTTAATAATATAAAATAGTTTATTGTTATTTTTGTTGCTTCTTCATCCGTTGCCTAAAGACCTGTAAATACATATAAAGTTCTTTATACCTACGTATTTCACCCTTCCTAAGTATTTCATTCGTCTTTCTGCTCAGGTGATTTATCGTCAAGTAAATGAGTTAGTACAATAGATCTTCCTCCTTTCCCCTTCAGAAAGGAACTGATTCCCAGCCAAGAGAGAAGAATGGGGGTAAGATATGCTTCTCCGCTGCCAGGTCGATACACCTCCGTCGAAAGAAAAGGAGTGTCAGAGCAAAATGCTGGAAACGAGGGAGCAGAACCCTCAGATTTGACCTACCGCCAGCAGCGCAGGTTCAGAACAAATTCAACCAAAAATTGGACCCCATGCGACACTGAAAGTGAAAGTGAAAAGATCTGTACTTCTGCTTTCAAGACTTCAGATAGCGTACGTCACTCCGTGACGAGATATCTGTCAAAATTAAAATTTCGAATGTATTAATTTCCTGCCTCGTGAATTGCACTCACACATAAGAAAATCAAAATTTCACCTGATTGGGACTTTAATATGATAAAAACATAATAATGGTAACAGATAATAATAATAATAATAGTAATAATAATAATAATAATAATAATAGTAATAATAATAATAATACAAAACTTTCAGTGATAGGATATTATAAAGAATATTTGTTTAAATGCATCGTAGATGAAATGTCGAAGAAATATTTCTCTCTAATATGAGTGCATTATTCGTTCACTAGAAGCGCTTCTATATTTGGACTGGTCAATGCCGTAGAACATTTCAAAGAAATGATGGTCGATACGTTATTATTGAGCTGCAGTTCAATCCTCTTGCTGCTGCTTGTTTTCCCCCTGGTGCTGCTGCTTGCTTATGCCTTTGTTATTGATTCGGGACGCATTTTGTGAGATAAGTGCCCCAAATCAGTTTCTCCATACTTTGCTTCTATTTATTGCTGTCCACTCTGACGAGATAATGAAGGCTATAATTAATTATAGATTTTCCGTGAAACTTTACACGCAAATAGAAGAGGGAATGGTTTTGTAAAAGAAAATTTACAATAACTTCTAAATTACCCATGCTACGAAAATGCCTTTAATAACCATTAATCATGTACATCACTCGATTTTGAATAAATGTCAATTTTTGAAGTCTGAGATTTTCACATACAAATTGTAGTGTTGTTTAAATATTTTTTATTATTTCAATATCAACTATTTCATTATTGATAATTTGATTAACATAAAATAGAATTTGAATAGAAAAGAAAATTTCATTATTATTTGTCACAAGAATACATTGAAACTATTTATAAGAGGAACGTGATCGTGGATCGCAACAAAATATATTCAATATTAATTTCCCTCGGCGGACGTTTTACTATTACTTTATTTCAGTAAACAAGAAATAAGAATAATAATAATTATTATATAATTTATTATTATTATTTTAAATAAAGGCCATTACTGACCACGTCACACAATTATCGTGTGTAATTTTTCCAGGATCGGCTGTATCCCTCAGTACGATAACGTTATTACGCCTTGAAGTGTAAATTATGAGGTGATAGGATAATGATGACGATGATGATGATGATGATGATGATGAGGGATGAAGGGCAATCACAAATACGACCATGTCTACCATTTCTTCTTTTCTTCTTCTTCTTCTTTTCTGCTTCTTCTTCTTCTTCTTCTTGTCTTTTTCGACTTTTTTTGTCTTTTTCATCTTTTTCGTCTTTTTCGTCTTATTTGTCTTCTTTTTCTTCTTCTTCTTCTTCTTCTTAATATTAATATTATTAATATTACTATTATTATTATTATTATTATTATTATTATTATTATTATTATTAGTGTAATAGATTTTTTGTGTTCCGTTCTCCCCGTCGACGTCAATTACCACAAGATTCGATTGTCTCTTATCGGCTCTGAGTTACTCTCCCCCTCCCCACTCCTCCCCCTCACCCGGTTACAGCCATATCTCCCCGGAGCAATCGCGTCGGCCGGCGCCTGCGGCCCTTCGGCGGTCCTGGGTGACTGAGGCTTGCAAAGCTTTTTGCAAGAGTAATGGAACACTAGGACGGGGAGACGGGGGCCAGAGTTCGGTTCGTATGTGATGGCGGCTCAAGGACATTTTCGTGAACATGAATGAATGTCGATGATTCGCTTGACCCGTTGGTGTGGTGAGGTCATCGGAGGAAGGAATTTTTGAGTGAACAGCTGGCTTCGATCGGTAGTTTCCTGGCTTTCTTCGATCAACACAGTGAGGACGTTGTTTGGTAGAATCCGGAGCAGTAGCGCCTAGTAGTCAATTACCGGGCTGCCGGACCCCGCGCGCGATCGTTTCCTTCCCATTCTTTGTCCTATTCATCACTTCTTACTTACACACCACGTACATAGCACTACAACTACTCGTACATGAGACCGATCGGGGAGTTTGAGAGGCTTGAGGCGGCGGAGGTGGCTGAGCGAGGGAGGCGGAGCAAGCGACGTCGGTGGCGGAGGCGGCGGGAGTCGGAAGCAGGTGGGAAGAGGTGGCGTTAGGCGGTGGGGCGGCGGGAGCGGCGGGCGCGGTGGAACGCGGCGGAACGGCAGAGGCGGCGGGCGGCGGGGGTGCGGGGCGGCGGAGCGCGGCGGAGCGGTTTCGGAGCTCAGCGGACGACGCGTCACAGTGCGACGGCAACGGATGGGCATGAATGTGACAATTTTATTACCAAGGCGCTCTTTGAGAAGCGTGTCAGGGGGGCGATCGCGCATCGCCCTTTGAGCTGGGCGAGACGAGGAGGCGGGGGCGGGGTTTATTTAGAGGGAGGGACGTTGGCGGGTTCGGCGTGCGGATCAGAGTTCTGCTCGCGCCCGCACTGCGGAGGCGCATCCGCGCTTGCCTATTCCGGTCCGGTACAGATCGCCTGCAGCCAGGAAAAAACCCGAGTCCGATGCCGCTACATCCCAGCCAGATCTCGGTCCAGGCGTTTTTCGCCGTCGCTACTGCTCTT